CTTTCCATCTGCCAAGATACCAAGTTATATTTTGGGGAGAGAATTCTTAGAATACTTGAACTGGTTTTACTTTTGGGTTGTTTTTTTTCCCCCCAAGCAGCAGTAACCTAAATTAAGGCAGCATTTGAGATTTTCTATTATAAATCATTTTCTCTGAATAATGGGAACCTTAGACTTACCTAGCCATGCAGATACTGTTTTGAAGCCAAAAAGCTTTCAGGAGGATGATGTGATCAAATTTATGGTTTTCAGAGTAACATGGGTTGACTTGCTGTTTATGGAACAGAACACGCTGTGAAACTTCCTGCTTTCCTTGCTTTGCAGATCTTGAAAGCCTAGGAAACGTACAAGATGCATCCAAGCTAAAGGTACCAACTCCAGTGGGAAGTTCCCAGGATCTTACAACACCTGAACCTCAGACCCAAGAAGCTTCAGGTAGGGCTTTTAGGTTTCTGTAGCAAAACATAAAAATAGCAGGGCTGTAAGGCACTTTAAGATCTGCCCTATCCCACTGAACTGCAGCAGGACTGAGTAAACCCTAGCTAGTGTTCCTGAATGTTATTTGCTGATGATCCCATTTGTACTTTTGTTCTGGATCAGTAATGGAAGTAGAAGTTAATAAACTTTCTTTAGAAGAATTGTATTCATTGCCCAGTGACAGGACAAGGGGCACTGGGCACAAACTGGAACGCAGGAAGTTCTGTCTGAAAATGATGAAAAACTTCTTCACTTTGAGGGTGACCGAGCACTGGAACAGGCTGCCCAGAGAGGTTGTGGAGTCTCCTTCTCTGGAGATACTCAAAACCCACCTGGACGCAATCCTGTGCAACATGCTCTAAGTGATCCTGCTCAAGCGGGGGTTGGACTAGATGATCTCTAGAGGTCCCTTCCAACCCCTACGAATCTGTGAATAAGACTTTGCAGTGATGTTTTTGTCTGTGCAGAAGGTAAGGAACGGGAGGAAAAAGGCAGCTCTTATGTTTTGAAATCTGAATCATGTGGCATTTCATTGTCTGTCTTATTTCAAGCTTCCCTGCAGCAGCCAAAAACAGTGCTGGAAGCATTGCAGCAAAGGCTGGAGAAGTACAAGTCAGCAGCGGCACAGGCTAAAGCGAGTGGGGATGATCGGAAGGGCAGGATGCACGAGAGGATAGCCAAGGTAAAACAAAAGTGCCACAATCTTCTTGCCTCCAGCAAAGCCATTTAAATTCGTTCTCTTGCTGAAGACTTTTTCAAGGCTGAACGAATTTGTGTATTGTCCTGCTATTTGAAAAGAGCTCCAATAGGGAAGCTGTAAAGCATTCAGAGGAAGGAGAAATAGAGACAAAGCACATATTATGGCAAAATACTCTGTATTCTGCAATGTTTATGCTGGTTAAATACGGATGATTGCTAATTTCTAGTCAACATTTTATATCTTACTGAGTGCCTTTAATTACAGCAATACCAGGATGCCATAAGAGCCCATAAAGCAGGGACAAAAGTGAATTTTTCTGAGCTACCTGTTCCTCCCGGTAAGTGTGCATATAAAATGTCCTAATACCAACTTTTGTGTATCTCCTGGGCTCTGAAGGAGGTGTGCAGGTAGTGCCTCCTCATCCTGTGGAACAGCTCCTCCTTTTTCTCAGTGAGTAGGCTGGCCTTGCTGTTTGATGGTATTGTGAAACTGTTTATTAATATCCTCCCAAATTTTCATGGTGAATATGAATATGGTGAATATTCCTGACTACTGACAGCCTGTTTGACAGCATCAGAACTCAAAGCTGGCCCTATTTGAAAACTTAAACAATTTAACCATGGGCAAATAATGAAAATGTCACCTGTCTGTCCTCTGTGCCAGCCCTCCTAGAGTAAACTGACATTTACTGGAAGGAGATTTTTGAAACTGAAAAAATTTGCCTGATGTTTCCTGTTCTTTTGATTCCCAGCAGGAGCCTCAGAACTCTATATTTAATTAATCATCTTCTTGCAATGCCTCACAAATCAAATCAGTATTGCAGCTCTCATGACTAGTAGAAGTAGTCTAGAGAGACGAAACAAATAGTGTCCGTGGTCACACTGAGATAGTGACAGAGGCAGAAACTGAACCTGCTTCTTGAGATGGTCCGTGTCCTTTTTATCTTCTTCAGCATGTATAGTGCTGAGTTCGTGAAAGTTTGGCAAGGTCATCGATGGATGCTCCACCTCTGGTTTGGATGATGCTGTTTCTCCCCTAGGAAGCATCATTCCTTTTATCTTGTGCCTGATGTGTCCATCTGAAAAGATACACTTAGCATGGCAAAGTGTTGCCTAGATTTTTTTTAAGTTAGAAGAGGAACATGGACCTTACGGCTTTTTTGTCACTGTCAAATGTGGCAATGGCAAATGCCGTAGTAGTAGTAAGTAGACAGTGCCAGCTCTGTCAGGTCATGTGCTGCTTTGAAGGTTCCCTGCTTTGAAGCTGTCCCCGAAAAGCAGTTAAGCATCCGTTGTTCTAGAACATGATCCATTTCTTGGTAAATATCAGCTTCTGTAAGAGTGAGGTACTCTGTATTTATACCTCTGAAAATATGGATAATTCCTCAATTTCCTTACATGGTAGCTGCATGGTTTTCAGCCATCATTTAGAGACCATATGATTTAATTGAAGACAACCATTAGGCAGTCTCTGGAACCAGCAATGAGATTGTAATGGACTGGCAGTGCGTTTCATTGCATCTGAATGATGATCAGTACCAGCCTTGACCTCCTCGGAGACGGAAATGCCACTGAGTAATGGATCAAATGTCACGCGGGGGCAGCAGTGTAGGGTTCTGTGTTCTGCCTGCTGCCTGTGCTGTCCCCATAGCAGCCACCTCTAGGTTTAGAAGCAGTTTAGTCATTATTTCTTGGCGCTTCTGATGAGACTGGCAACAAGAGTACTTGCTACATATTAATGAAATAAATCATATCAACAGACATTTTATAGTAGTGGCTCTGGATCTCTGTTGTTTGAAGCTGGCACTCAACTGGCAGTGTGGAAGTGAGAGTTCATCTTCCATCATCAAGCCTTCCTCCCATCCTTAAAAGGATAATAAAATAATGAAAAGGATTGTTCTTCATATACTTCACATTTAACTAGTGTGATTCTGCCTCACTTTGCAACCTCTGCATTGCAGTAGATTTTCAGCAGAGGCTTAGTGTGTGTGTTATCCTGATGTCAGCGATGTATTGTTTATTACTCTATGGGGTAGCGCTGATTTTCTGCTGGACTGTGTACCAACTAAGGTGAGGCAACAGTGAGGCAGGGGAGGGGGGGAAAGCTAGCAACTTTTTGTACAATCTGCTGACCTTTTGCGCAAAAGAGAGAGGCTAAATTCTTTGCTGGTTCTGGGGACATCTCTATTACCAAAGTCTTGAGGTTGTGAGGTTCCTTGGCTGGCTGCCAGTTGCTCAGCTTAGAAACTATGCTCTGTTATTGCATCATTTTAGCATCATCCGTTTAAGCCTGTATATCTGTGAGAGATCTGATCTTAAGCCCACCACTCAGACTTTATCTAGCAAGCCTTTGTGACCTTGGCCTCAGTCTAGTTATGCTGCATTCTGGAATGTATTAGATAATAGATACTTGCATAGAAATAGCTTTACAGAAAAGAAATATGGAAGATAGAACATAGGTCTTATGCAACTCTTTACTTCTGTATTCCTTTCCTCCTCAGGGTTTCCCCCTCTTCCTGGTGTTGCAGCAACGGATGGTGACAGCACAATAGCTGCTGTTCTGGAAAATGCCAGCAAGCTGGCAAACATGGAGGAGAACGATGAAGAGGAGGAGGTATTTCTTAGTAGGATGTGTAAAAGTTGAAATGCTGTCTCTTGTGGTACGCAGAGATGAGGCCGTTGGATTTCCAGTCCAGCAAGGGTACTCAGATAACATACATTTCCCAGGAGTCTGAAGAGTACAGGATCTCAGTAGTAATTTCAGTTTGCATTATAGCGTAGGGGAGGGAGAGAGAGATGTTACTACAGTCTACCTACAGATTTTATGAGTCCAGAGTTTGGCGCTCTCATAACTGTCTTGTTTGTGGGTTTTTAGTTTCAAAGCAAACACTTCAGTTACTAGCCACCCCTTTACATTGTTCTAAAGTACTTAAATCTGTACTTTCTTCCTGCACCCCAGCAGCTCCTATGTTTGTGCTTTCCCAGGGTGTTCAACACTTACTGCTTTTGGTCAGGCAGCACCAGCCTTTTAGACTTTGATTTCTTTTTCTCTCTGGATTTGGTTGCTGATTGTGCTTTCAACTGGAGTAGCTTTTAATGGAGAGAATTCCTGGATTATGGTTTTTCTGCATGCATCTGCTTTTTTTTTTGAAATCACTGCCTTGCTGAGCATTCTTTTTGTCCCTTCTATAGTGGAGGTTTGACACTTGCATAGGTGAACTACCTACTGGCATGGCATGCCTTATAAACCTCCAGAAGTTAAAATTTGCTGTCTGGAATGTTAGGTTCCCCTCAAAAGTGATACCAGAAGGCTGATAAAGTGATAACCATGGCTGTTGATGCTTGAGATGCTGTCCTCAACTCTGGAATATATTTTATGCATTTAATATGAAATTCTTTTTGTTATGCTAGAATGAACCTCTGACACAGGCCCCAGTTGCCAAGAAACCTGCTCAGCTGCCTGGAAAGCCGATTCAAGTTGTTAAGCCATGTGCTGTAGCTGAGGAGGAGAGCTCTCCTGAGCATGTGAAACGAGCCCCATCACCCTCCACCCTGAAGGAGGCAGAGTCAATGGATCATCTCCCTCCAGCTGGTAAGGTGGAAGGATCATCATTCCCAGTGACCCATGTGCAGTCATTTGCACTAGTTTAGTTTAATACCTTGGTAAAGACTTCTTTTCATTATATTTTAAATATGAGCCTGTGAATGTGTGGCATAGATTTCCTCGGACAGGAGCCTCAATATATATATCTGCTAGAGGGCAGATCCAGACCAGCCATGCAGCTTTAGTTCACAGAGGCAGCGTGTGTAATTATAAGGGTGATTGGGTTTTTAATTCATTTTGATGTAATGAGTGTATGGATTCATAATGTTAAACTCTTCTCACAGTTGAACTCTACATATACTCCCATTAAAGTGGACAGCTTGCCAGTGTGAATTATTCATTGATCTAATGCAGCTTCCTACATCAAACTGGTTTCTGCCTAGTGCTTCATCCAAGGATCTCAAACTGGCACATAGGTGGTAGTTCATCGGTCTCTAGTCCTGCTGTTGTTATGGTCACTAAACAATTGTCTGTACAAGATTAATTGTACAGATAGTAAGGGACAGCCACCACCTCACCGTGTGATTTGGGCACACACCAGCAGTGTTCAGGCTCTCACTGATTCTGTTGTCATGCCTTTGCTGTAATCCCATCGTTCTTCGGTCCTGCCCTGGGTAGTTCCCTCAGGGCAAAGCAGAACTGCCCACTTGGCTGATGTGAGTTCTTTTGCAGAGTGCAAAGGCATTTCACAGTGCCACTGTGATTAGCTCGTAACTCTTCTCTCTAGAAAATTCCATAACTTCTTTCATGATCACCACTAACACATAGTAGTTGTCCATTTTGGCTTTGAAAAATCTATGAATCCTCAGGAGACTGTTTTTTGCAGTTTTAGCTGACATATTAATCTCTTAAGTGACTTGTCGTAGACTTACGCTGTGAAGGAATTGATAATTTCTGGTCTCTGGTGTTACCCAGAAGAGATTGCTGTATTTCAAGTATTTTAAAATAAGACCAATAGATGCAACAAGAACCTGGACAGATTCTTGGTTTTTCACAACAAAATGTCAGTACTTCACTACTGTAAAGCTGTATTTCACTAGCCAAATTATATTCTGTGATCCAAATGTAACCTCCTTCCCCCCCCCAGAATTACGAAGTGCAGCGTACAGCTGCCCATAGCTGATGAATCAACTGTAAAGAAGCTGTCTTCTTTTCTTGTTGGAGAGCGCAAGGCATTTGGAAGTGTGGGAGTGGAGTGGAGCAGTTTCACTTAAGGCCTGTACCAAGAAGGTCAAGGAGCTGAGATCAGTTGGGTTAATGTTTTTGCTTAGTCCATTCTCCACAGATTGTCTTTGAAAATACCTGTGCTCTGTGTCTCAGCCTCACAGAGCACTGTGGGCTTTGTCTCAGTGGAATCTGGGCTAGCTACCTTGTCTAATTAGTTTGGTTTTGGCTGATTGGGCAAATTGCTTACAGCAGCAGGACAGCAGACTCTTTTGCGAGAATGAGGATAAGGTGATCGTCATCTGACAGCAGTGAACATAGTGTGAGAGTCATTGGTATATTTATTTGCTGAGACGGGCACCTCTTGCAGTGTTGTTAAACTTGTGTAATCACAAGTAGAGTGCAGTAGTGAATACAATATGAGTATCTTTGGAAATGGCTGTAATCAGCTCACGCTGTACCATTTCCCGAGTGAGGTATAAGAAGAGGCAGGATAAACTGACCTGTTACAATGCAGAGCAATCTTTTCTGACTTGTGTGGTTGTCCTCACTGTTTTGGGAAGGAAAGAGGAGACCCAAGAATTCATAAGAAACTAAGATGGTGAGGAATTACAGATAAGCAGAGGTGGGTATGTCTCATTGTACCTGCACACTTTGGTTCATCTGGTTTTTTTCTTACAGATCAGGGGAGAGGAAAGAAGTGAGTATAGAAGATGCTCATAATATTTGCCATCTTTTAGAAGTTAAGATGTCAAGCGGAAAGTTTGAATCTGCTTTGGACCAATCAGCTGTACTAGAGTCTGTCTCTTGCCTGCAAATAAGGGGCTGTAATTACAGTTGTGACACTTGTGAAGTGCTGTGAGGTTTTTCGATGAAAGATGCCATGATAGAAGGAAGTTTGTTTCTTTTTCTGATACTTGAAATTGAAACTGGCCGAGAAACAATTTTAAGTGCAGTAAGGAAATGTCTGTATTTGATATCTGTACTTTTAGTGACCTTTTTCTGGCTATAAACCAAAAATGATAAACCTGTTTCAGGGGCATGGCAGTGACAGATGAGTGAGGGGTTTTATACATCTGTTTTTCAGCTAGGGAACAGCTGGAATTTCTGGAGAACAGAAAGAAGCAATACGTGAAGGCAGCCATCAAAGCAAAGAAGGAAAATAACCTTGAACAGGCTAAGATGTATCTCAGAACAGCTAAGAGCTTTGACCTAAAGATTGAGCAAGCAAAATGTGGCAAACCTGTTGATATTTCCAAGGTTAGTAGGACTGTTAATATTCTGCTTTGCTTCATGTTCTTGGATATCTAAGTGCTTACTTCAAACAGAAAATGATTTAATAAATATTTTTTGACACAAATTTTAAGTTTGTTTGCTCAAGTGACAAATCTGGATGCTGAGCCCTGAAATTCCCCTATATTTTTGGTTTTGTTTCATTTTGTTTCCTCTGCTGCTCCTCCAGTGTGCCAGATTTTGAGAAAATTCAGTCTGTGAACCATTTGCTCCCTGATATGCAATGGCACACCTAAACCATGCAGCTTGGAAATGTTCCCTGGGTTTAGGGTGTGAGTACATCTCTTAGCTGTGTCCTAACTCCGTTTTGGGTTGAGGATCAGATTCATGTGATACAGTGTCGCCCTGGTTTCTATTTGAGTAGAAACCAAACTGCACTGTAATAGCTCTCCTGACCTGCATAATTGGGGAACTAGGCCTGTAAGACATTTTGCAGAGTTTTATGACTTAAGCAGTTGTCAGGCAGTGGTGTAAGTAGTGGTTGGCTTGGAATTGCCTTGAGAAGAAAAACAACCCATCTCCTTTCACTGACCTTTGCATACATTGACTGCTTTTTGTCTAGTTCCATTTTTTTTCCTATAAGGGCTCTGAAATGCGATGTTCTTGTCTTGCAGCTGCCATCACCCCCTACAGATGATGAGGGTGATTTTATCTTTGTACACCATGAAGACATCAGACTGTCTCAGAAAGCAGATGAAGTATATGCACAGCTCATAAAATTGCTGAAGGACCAACATGAGGTGACCATTTTATCTTTTTTAGAAATGTTCTGGAGTGGTTTTTTTACATTTCTCTCTGTTTTATTAATATAATAATTCCATCATTGCCTCTGTAGGGTCTTTTATTTTTCTTTTAAAATACTTTTGATTTTGTTGTCCTAAAGTGGAAGATTTTCAGAGATGCATTCTCTGCTAGTTGAAGTCAGAGGGTGTGCTTGGAGGCTTGGGACTATCAAATTACCACTATTAAATATGAGCACTCAAGTTTGAAAATAGTACCTGCATGATTAAGACTAGCCCTTGGGTGAACCTCGTATCGAGAAATTAAGTGATTAAAAAGTAATAGGGCAGAACAGTTCGAACAGATGCTGTGCTCAGCTTTGGGCTTAAAGGACTGGAGAGGGTGGATGTTTTTGGGTGGCTTGGGAAAACTCTTGGCTTCTCTTCAGTTGGGTTGTCATCAACCTCAAAACTCTTGCCAGTCATGAATCTGTGTGTAAGGATCACTGGGTGCATATGTATTTGGTTTTGTTTCTGTTGACAGAGGTGTTTGCAGTATTCCAAGCAATTCATGCATCTGGGAAATGTAGCAGAAACGACTCGGTAAGACCCGCTGCCCGCTGTTAATCATCCCACAGTGTTGTCATTTCAGGCTTGAGTCTGCCTGAGCCCTCAAAGATGGTGGGGGTTCAGGTTGGTGAGCTTCTCGTTATGCGAAAGGGTCAGTAAGTGTGAGGCTGCATCTCCAGGCTGCTCTCAGACCTCTGGTCTGAGCCTTACTCTGTGGGTTCTGTCTGTCAGAATGCTCTGTTTGATGTTCCAGTGTGTGTAGCTTTTCTATAGTTTGTTTGCCTTTTGCATAGGTTTGAGAAACTGGCACAAGGTTGTAAAAAGGACATGGACATCCTACAGCTTGCACGAGCGCAAGGAATGGATCCTCCAAGCCATCACTTTGAGGAAAGAACCTTTAAAATGATAAGGTGCGGAAAACCAAAAGGGATTTCTCAGGCAGGCTGGAATGAGTTTTCTGGTTTCGAGCTCTTGTTTAGGGAATTGTGGGCTTCAGCAAACTCGGGTGGCACCTAGGGTTAGGCTCAGCACTCCTGAAAGGACAGTCTCAGCAACTTAAATATGAAGAAGTTGTTCTCTAACTTCTCTTCTGGGTTCTTTTGTTTTCAAAGTATCTCCAGCTTCATCTCTTATATTCTGCTACTTCAGCCACTCTTCATTCCTCCATAATTCTCCCTCGGTCTTGCTGCCTTTGGGCTTTGTTCATGGCATTTTTCGCTGTACCTCAGAGATGGTTTTATCTCGGTTTGTGCTCTTTCCTTGATCTTTTGTAATTTATGAAGATGATCTATGTAGGAGTGCACTATTGAAAAAGGTCTGACAAATACCAGTGGCATCCTAGTCTGACAGTGGATCAGGTGGTGGTGGGCTACTGGGATGAATATGGTTTTTTTGTCTCTATTTTTTCATAGGATATTTTCTGAACTCAACAGCACAGAAATGCACCTTCTTATTGTCAGGGGGATAAACCTACCAGCTCCGCCAGGTATGTACTCGAAAGGGTGTGTGGGCTTTTTCCTCTGAGTAGGTAAGAAAAGTAGGGGGGAATGAGATTTTTTCTACTTGAAGACCACTTCAGGAGTCAAGATCTATGTAGCCAGCACTCATTAAAACAAAATAACCGGGTTTCAGGGTCAAGCCCCCAAAAAACCTTTAAACAGTATTTAAAAAAAACAAACAAAAAAAACCTCAGAAGAATAAAGATAATCTGGGTTCCATCTGGACAGAGGGAAGAACTTTAAGTGGTCCTGGGTTCGCTCATAATTGGGTGACAGTTTAAACTTTATGTTTATCTCCTATTTTGTTATGAGTCCTGCCTTAACTCTGCACCACCTTAATGTGTCGTGGCCCTTAGGTAGACAGGAGTTGCTCCTGCCTACGTTACTGCTTTTAGTCCCTTGTTTCTGGGAGTCTGTGGACTAGACTGTCTCAGGGCTAAGAGCAGCATTAAGAAAAGCAGATGCTTTCCTTTGCGTGCCAGCTTTCTATGGATTTCGGTTTGATGGATGGGTCTTTCAGTTGTCAAGAGACAGGTCATGAGCCCTACTGAAAATCAGATGCTCTTGAAAATCCTGTGTGACATTACAGATGCAATGAAAATATCTGTATTGGCTGTTTGGATTGGCTGGTTGTTGTCTCATTCAGGTGTATCACCAGGAGATTTGGATGCATTTGTGAAGTTTGAATTTCAGTACCCGAGTGCGGTGAGTGCGTGTCCTGGCTCTTCTGTTCCTCAGTCTGTGGCCCTTGCCACTGTATTAGCTTGCGAGGGCTTCAAGGAGGAGGTGTAGGTTTTCTTCGAGGAAGGGAAAACACTTTTAGGCATACTGCCTGTATTTATTTTTAAAACAGAAACTTTTTCTCAGAAACAGAACTGCTGAATCTGTTGCCTGCAGATTTGAGCTTTGCTGCACCTTTCCCTTAACGTTCTCCACACCTTACACTTAGCGGCATGGTGTCTGCTTTAGGCCAGCATGTTCTCTGGCTGGCTGACCCCACCAGCTTACTGCTAAACAGCATTCACAGTGCTGAGCCGTGTCCACCTTTCCACCCTGAAGACACTAATCAGATTGTTTCCAGTGTTTGCAAAATTTGTAGAAGTTCATTTCTTTCAGGGGTGCAAACGCACTGGTAACTTCAACCAAAGACAAGGGCATGCGAAGTTGTCACTAGGGGTGAGGGGCCACCGTGGATGTGATCTCCCCCTGAGTTCCATCCCTTTAAGAAAACAAACTCGTAAAGGCATTGCTTTTGGACTTCTCTTATAATTATAGAAATGGATTGGAAAGCTTAATCTTCGTCATCAGATAAATGCGCGTGACTCCTCGTGATTTAATTAGCAAATATGTATGTATGTATCTGGAGAAAGGACTTAGGCCATAGAAGTTTCTTCACCTTACTAATTAACACTTATGTGTATGGGCATATATATGTGTATGTATCAAAAAAATACGTATACATATATATATTGCTTCTTTCCTTGAAACTCCCCAGTGTCATCCTGTTCCCTTCACCTTTAAAAGTAGTCTCTCGTCTGAAAAACACTGAAACCATTGAGCTAGGAGGGCTCTCTAGTCTTACTGTCAGTAGAAGTGCTGGGGCTTCTGCTGCTTTCTCTGCAGGGCAAGAGCAGTCTTTGCTCTTACAGGACAAATACTTTGCTCTGTGAGAGTGCAGAGCCTAGATTTTTACCTCCTATTACAGTTTGCAGCAATTCTGCTAAAATAAATTCAATTACCTGTGGGAGATTGGTGATGGTCAGATCAGGTTTGTGTTTAGGTATGGGTTACATGAGG